AAGGCCCTTTGAAGAGAGGAGGCCCTCTGTAGAGGAGGACTCCCTCAGTAGAAAGGAGGTCCTCTGTAGGTAGGAGGCCGTCTGTAGAGTGAAGACCCTCTGAAGAGAGGAGGCCCTTTGCAGAGATGAGGTCCTCTGTATAGAGGAGGTCCTGTGTAGAGACGAGACTCTGAAGAGAGGAGGCCCTACATAGATAGGAAGCCCTCTGTAGAGAGGAGGTCCCTGTAGAGACTAGAGAGGAGGCCCTCTGTAGAGAGGATGCCCTCTGTAAAGGAGGCCCTCTGGAGAGAAAGACACCCTCAGCAGAGAGGAGGCCCTCTGTAGATAAGAGGCAATCTGTAGAGAGGAAGCCCTCTGTAGATAAGAGGCCCTCTGTGGGCAGGAGGCCCCCGGTAGTCAAAGACAGCGTCGTATATTAAGTACATAGAGTGGAGGCCCACTGTAAGCAAATTACCTTCCGGCTTCTGTTCCCTGCTAGGTACTGTTACGGTGCGCTCCGCTTGCCGTGGCACGATGGTGCCGTATCAGCGCGGAACGGTGGCGCAAGTGGTTAAGGCGCCGGGTTCGCATTGTGAGATGCTATGGTGAAGCGAGTTCGAGTGTCGTCGTTTCCGTGCTTTTGTCGGTGATGGGTGTTTTTGTCTGTGCGTGTGCGCGTGCGCGTGCGCGTGCGCATGCGGATGCGCACGGCGATGTACGTGCTGCACGTTGATTGGTCTGTGCCCGTGACCTCGGCTCGGGCCGAGGCTCGTTTGACCTGGCGGTCAGTCGAGACCGGGACTCTGCCAGGTGAGCTCGCTGTTGCCTCCCCGCTCCTTACCTGTGGTCCGAATTGATGGCAACGATTCGGTAACAGCGCCAGGGCGACTCTCTGGTATCCTTTCCCTCCCCTGTCGCTGTGCTTGATTGCTACGAGCACAGACTTTCCTCATCCTTCCCCGTGCTTGATTGACACGAGCACTTCCTCTTGTACCCGTCATTGTTGTGTGCTAGCACTTGAACTAAAATGGTCACATTGTCATCTGATACTTGCCGCACTGGTCGTTAGATACTTGAACTCACTCGTTACGCACTTTTTTTATTTATTTTATTTATTGCGAATCTTTGTGGCATCCATACGATTTGGCTTTTACGCCACAGCGTCATACATTGTATGCCATAGCCTAAAACACATTCTCCCTATCTCTAAAATAATACACCGCGATTTAAAAAAGGGTTAAAAGACGAGTAAAAGATACAAGACACGAGTACGAGAGCTGCTAGACAGTTGGCACGCTAGGTGGTCTCCAACAGAGCACGTTTTACATTTCTTTTAAATGCGCAGGCGGTGCTTCCGCGGACAGCGACGGGTAGCCGGTTCCATGTGCGAACAGCTCGATCGGGCACAGACATTCTAGTCGCTTCGAGGCGGCAGCGGCGAGTCTCCAATAGCCCAGCACTGGATGCACGCGTCTCTCGCTCAGATATGTCGGCACGGTACGAGACAAACTCCTTCAGACGCTGCGGCCCCTGTGTAGGCGCTGTTTTTGATGAGCTCCTGCTAGTAACTTTAGGTTACCCGAACGCTTACGAGATGGCGGTGTTGTTTCGGTATTTGAATAGCGCTATCGATTTATCGATGTTTATTTTCTGCTTGGGTGCTTTGTGTCATTTGGTTTAATTTTTGTATCGGTTTATAAATTAATTTTGTATTGTGTTTCGCTGTTATTTGTTGTTAGCATTTTAGTTTAAGTGCTAACCTTCACGGTCACGTGACCGGCGCCCCGCCTACCCGCCACGTCGGCTTCCGGGTCGGCGGAGGGGCGGTCGTGGAAGGAGGGATTCGAGACATTCTTGGTCTATCGGTGACGGCGGCGGGAGTCATGCCGATTTGGGTTTTTGGCAGGGCTGCGGAGTCGATGGATTTTCGGCGACTCCGACTCCGACTCCGACTCCGGCTTTCAAAAACCAGCTCCGACTCCGACTCCGACTCCGGGCAGAATTGTCGACTCCGACCGACTCCAACTCCCGACTCCGACTCCGCAGACCTAGCAGGGCTACGGAGTCGACAGATTTTCGGTGACTCCGACTCCGACTCCGGCTCGGGTTTCTAAAATCGACTCCGACTCCGACTCCGACTCCGGTCACAACTGTCGACTCCGACCAACTCCGACTCCGACTCCGACTCCGACTCCGCAGCCCTGGTTTTTGGTCACCATGGTTGCTCTAGCCGTACGACTTTGAGGGCTTTGAGGGCGCACCGTGTAGGTGAGTGACATGTACTTTGAAGTGTTTGGTATTTGGCAAATGGCGAATGCTGATTTGGTACATGCTGATTATTTTAGGTATATTTTCTTTTGCTGCGTCTGTGTATTTGTTTGCTTGGTGCACGGTCATACGGTCATATATTAAGTTTCTGTTTATTTCGTTTTCAGAAACCGCTTGCTTCACTATGTTTTGCAATATAAACTCATCTGTGGAGCTATAGCGCGTTTACCTGCCGGTTAACCCGCGCCCGGCTGGGGGTCCTGGATTTCCACGCCCTGCTGGGGGGGGGTGTTTGAACACCCCCCCTTGTAACTCGGCTCCTGGGCCACGTAGCGATACGCGGAAGGCGGCGTTCGAAAGAGCGTCAAAAATAATGACGAAATCACTTCGGTCAATTTTTTGGTCAGGTCAAAGGTCAGGTCACCAGAGGTCATTGAAGGCAAAATTTCGCCGATTTCCAGGTCGAATGGCGAAAAGTTCCAAGAAGCCAACGCATAACTCGGGAACCAATAGAGCTACAGCGCCGCGGAAAAGCGCATTCGATAGCCCTATTAACGCCCTTTCTGAGTAATTCTCTCAGATTTGACCTAGCGTCAACGGTTTTGCCTGCAGGGGGCAAAAACTGCAAAAATAGCCGATTTTTTCGGAAACAGTTTTTCTGCAATAACTTTTGACCCAAGCCCTGTACGAGCTTACTTTTACCGGCATCGTGTTCCTCTCGTCAAGACGCATCGAATGAACTATAACTTGACCTTGAAAGGTCAACTTGAAAATTTGACCTCAGGTCAAGGTCATGACCTGACCGGAAAGGGTCATGTTGCATATCAGTCGATCCGTATCGTCGAGCTGAACACATCTAAGGCGTTTTCATCGCTCTAGCATGCCTCTATCAAAAGTTATTTGCGAAAAACTGTTAGATACCATTCGTGACCTAAGATGACCTCAGGGCATAAACAAGGGTCACGGACACCATTTTCATGTTCAGTGTGTCTAAACCACTTGTAATTCGGTGTTTGGGAGTGTTTATAATGTCTGTCATCCAAAAGAGGCGCATTTCAATTTTCTCCCATTGACTTATAATGGGGAGGTCGCAAAATTGACCTGACCTTAGGTCATCGATATCAAAATTCTGAGATATACATTTTGTACATACTATTGCTCTTAGCAATCGCTGAAAGTTTCAAAGCGATCGGTCACTCGGTGTAGCTATGACAGACATTGAAACTTTTTATGAGGTGAGGTCACTTCAAGTGACCTGGTGACCTGACCTTGAATGACCTTGGTCTGAAATTTTCACAACATGTGTAGAATTGATGTATGATAAGGTGTACCAAAAACGGCGGCGCTCCGCGCCGCCGTTTTTGAGATATTCGCGAAAAACCACAAGGGGGGGTGTTCAAACACCCCCCCCCCAGCAGGGCGCGGGTTAACGCAAGATCCAGAGGCCCTAGACAGCGGTCGGCGGTTATAGTTTCTACACGCGCCAGTTCTACCCGTGGCTTCTGCGCTGGCTGGTCTCCGGCTGCGCGGCGCGACTTTCTGCTCGCGCTGGCCGCGCTGGCTGGGCGCTGTCCTGCGGACGCGTGCAGATTCTGCAGTCTGCATTGTCTACAGTCTGCAGGATCTACTGGCTGGCTTCAGCCTGCAACTCGGCACGTGTGGGCTGCTGATTGCTGAGCCTCAGCAGTCTGCGCGTTTCAACATGCTGAGTGTCTGCAAGCAAACTTGTGCGCAGAGTCGGTAAGTGATCTGGGTCCCTGATCTGGGTCTCATTTGGTTTGGCGCCTTGGGTCTTGGCTTGGCGAGGTAACTCACCTTGTGGGTTTGGACTTGTGAGTGGGTACCTACTGCTCGTGGGCAGTTGACCTTGAACTTGGAGGACTTGGACTTGAGCCAACTCACTCTTCCTGTTTGGACGAGGGTGTTTTTTGGCTTGGTGCTCACTGCTCAGTGAGCCCATGTCTGTGTGCTGACGTTGGTGATCCTGATGGTCAGCAAAGCTTTGAATCAGTGAATGAGTTTGGTTCTTGGTAAGCAATTGATGGTTCGTCAGTTGCAGGCATCACTGTTGGTTGTGAAATAGTCTTGGTGAAATTTTTGGTTTGGTGGACTCTAGTGTTTGAGCCATTTCTGGGAAAGCTGCGAAACAGATGGCATCAGGGAGCTTCATCCAGGGGCTTTGGGGCATCTGAACATAGTTTGGGGCTTCGGTGCATTGTGTTGTTGTAAAGTGTATTGTATGTGTATGTATTGTGTGTTGTAAGTGCTACTGTGTACTGTTAGCGTAGATGTTTGACTATTAAGTTAGGTGGTTAAGATGGCACCAACCAGGGAGGACCTTGCTAAGTTAAAGTTATCTGAGTTGGTGGATGAGCTGAGCTCTAGAGGCTTAGAGACGTCTGGTAAAAAGGCCGAGTTAGTAGATAGGTTGTGGGAAGCTGTCAGATCTGCTGATCCCAGACATGTTGGTACTGAGCAGAGCAAGGTGCTTGTGAAGGGTGATGTAACTCAGGAGCAGGTCGGAATGGCAGCACAAGCAGATGTTACTGTTGATTCTGGGGCAGGCTCGGAGACGTCTCAGTCACTTATTGCTAAGTTAAGGGCACTGAGGGAGATAGAGCAGTTGGAGGAGCAGGAGCTTAGAATTAAGATGAGAAGGCAGCAGCTGGATATAGAGCTTAAGCTTGCTGAGCTACCCAGAGAGCAGGTGAGTCAAGAGCTGGTCGATTCACTGCGGATTCCCGTAGGGCCTTCTGAGGGTCAGGGTCAGTCAGCAGGCTCACATGAGTCCTCCCTACTCGGGTCTCAGATGCAGAGAATGTTGCTGCCCCCCACAGAGATCGAGAAGTTTGATGGCAACGTCATGAAATATAAACTGTTTATCAGGTCTTTTGAAGCTAGGATCGCTTCACGTACCACTGATGAGGATGAGCTTCTCCACTATCTTGAGCAGCTCACTGTAGGAAAGCCTAAGCAGATTGTGAGGAGCTGCATGTATTTGAGGGATGTAGGGTATGCAGAGGCTCGTCGGCTGCTGGATGAAAGGTATGGTAGCTCTCACAAGGTGGTAGATGCGTACATCCAAAGACTCAACAACTGGAGTAGGATTTCCCCAGGAGATGTAGAGGAACTTGACAGGTTCACCCTGTACCTGATCGAGATAAAGCATGCCATGACGGACTTGGACATTGTTGGAGAACTGGAGCATCCACGCACACTGAGGGAGGTGGTGGATAAGCTACCAGCCTACCTGAAGGACAGGTGGATGAGGGTAAGTGACGAGATCATGGAGGAAAATGGGAGGATGGTTCGCTTCAAGGACTTAGTAGACTTCCTTTCCAAGGAAGTACGGGTCAAGAGAAACCCAGTATTTGGGGCTCCGATAGGGGACAGACAGGTGCCACAGAGATCTAAGACACAGCACAACTTGGGTCGCACACAGGCACAGTGTAGTGCAACAGCTGTAAAGCAAAATAGGGAAAAATGTCTGTTCTGTCAGGGTGACCATTTTTTGGATGACTGTCAGGAGTTGAGATACAGAGCTCTTGAGGAAAGGAAGCAGTTCATTCAGGCGCAGAGGCTGTGTTTTGGGTGTCTGCGAGGGGGTCACGTGGCTAAGTTCTGTAGGAGGCGTAGGAAGTGTGGTATCTGTGGCAATCTCCATGCTACTCTCCTTCACAGACAGAGTGAAGCTCCCAAGAGTGAGCAGACAGAATCCAGTCCTGTGACCACCCCAGTACGGGTCAGCAGTGGAGGGGTGACCTCCGATTCTGGACAGAGGTCAGGTACGATGATGCCCGTGATACCGGTAAGAGTCGTGTCACCCACAGGAGAGGTCTTGCATACATATGCCTTCTGCGACAGTGGTAGCTCAGGGACGTTTATGAGCGAAGGTCTGGCAGAGCGGCTTGGCAGTCCTTGTAAATCTACTACCATTTCTGTAGACACAGTGTGTGGACCAGGGAACGAGATTTCCACTTCGGTGATTGAGAACATCAGAGTTGGTCCTCTGGAAGGGAAGCGTTTGTTCTCACTGCCGCCAGTGTTCACTATTGGCCGTATTCCCGTTTCCAGTGATGACGTGTGTGACAGAGCGGAACTGAGGAGGTGGCCGCATCTGTCCGGTGTGACTCTGAGCGAGATTGATGTTGAACCGTGTGAAGTAGGTCTGCTGATTGGGGCGAATTGTCCGCAGCTACTGACGCCGGAGGAAGTGAGGAGGCCTGAGGGCGAGGGACCGTGCGCGGTGCGCACGTGCTTGGGCTGGTACGTCATCGGAGTCTCCAGTCGGTCCTCCAGGAGGTCTCCGAGCCGGCACTCCGTGAACAGGATCGCGGTGTCACGCTCGAACACGCACGGTAAGATACCTGAGCTTGATTTGTTTCATCAGTTGTACGACCAAGACTTCAAGGATATGTCAGATGATACTGAGGGTTTGTCGGTAGAGGACAAGGAGTGGTTGACTATGGTTAGGTCAAACATGAGGAAGGATGAATCCGGGCACTTTGAGATTGGGCTCCCTCTTCGCGATATTGGTGACTTACCAGACAGTTATTTTGCTGCGAGGAGGCGTCTGGAGTGCCTGAGACGGCGTCTGTCTCACGATAGCAGTCTCCGTGATGAATATGTCGCAGTAGTTCAGAGGCTGTTCGACGAAGGGTACGCAGAGAGGGTCCCGGACTCAGAGGGTGAGACCGAGGATCGGACTTGGTACTTGCCCCATCACGGCGTAAGGCATCCGGAAAAGCGGAAGCTAAGAGTAGTTTTCGATTGCTCTGCAAAGACTGAGAACGTCTGCCTGAACGATCTGCTCATCAAGGGTCCAAACTTGACTAACACTCTTGTTGGAGTGCTGCTGCGCTTTCGCGAGAATCCAGTGGCATTCACGTGTGACGTGGAATCCATGTTCCACAGGGTTCGAGTGCCGGCAGCGGACGCTAACATGCTCCGCTTCCTGTGGTTCAAAGACAACGATGTCGGCGCTGAGGCGGTGGTCTGCCGAATGAGGTCGCACATTTTCGGCGCGGTGTCGTCCCCGAGCGTTGCCAGTTTCGCCCTGCGGCAGTGTGCCGAGGAAGGTAGGGACAGGTATCCGGAGGCATCTAGAATCGTCGATGAAAATGTCTATGTAGATGATGCTCTGGTGTCTGCGTCGTCGGTAGACTCGGCGATCCACTTGGCTTGTGACTTGAAGCAGCTGTGCAGTGAGGGCAGATTTAACATGTGTAAGTTCGCCAGTCACAGCGCTGCGTTCCTGCAAAGCATCCCACGTGAGGACAGGGGCGCAAACGTTAAAGATTTGGACCTCCAAGTAGAAGGGCTTAAGCAGCCAGAGAGAGCGCTAGGCATGCGCTGGTCCGTGACTGACGACACTTTTCGTTTTCTTTTCGTTGACAGAGAGAAACCGGCGACCAGGAGGGGCATCCTGTCGACCGTCAGTGCTTTGTTCGACCCCTTAGGAATAGTTGGTCCTGTCACTCTGAGGGGCAAGCTTTTGGTGCAGAGGTTGTGTACTATGTCCTGTGGATGGGATGACGTCATCCCATCACCCTTGGCTGAGGAGTGGTCTGCGTGGTTGGAGCAGGCGAACCGTCTTGACATGGTCTCTTTGAACAGGAGCATCCAGACAGCTGGTGGCGAGGTTGTCAGTCGTCAGCTGCATGTCTTCTCAGACGCCAGTGAGGTCGGCCATTCGGCGGTGGCGTTTCTTCGAGCAGAGACGCGTGCAGAGGACGGCAGCAGTACGAGTACCGTCCGCTTCCTGATGGGTAAGGCCTTGGTAAATCCAGTTCGTTTTGTGACCATCCCTCGATTGGAGTTGGCAGCTGCAGTGGTCGCAGTAAGGTTGAAGCAGTTGCTGGAGAGGGAGACTGGTTTGGAGTTCGACAGAACTTTCCTGTGGACGGACAGCATGGTCGTACTCCAGTACATTCGCAACAGATCGTCGCGGTACAAAACGTTCGTGGCGAACAGAGTAGAGATCATTCACGGTAAGTCTGACGTGCAGGACTGGAGATACGTACCGTCAGCTGCCAACCCGGCGGATGTTGGATCGCGTGGATCTGCGCCGGAGGACTTGGGGACGTGGTTGAAGGGGCCGGACTTTCTTTCAGCGGATGAGGAGAGCTGGCCGTGTGAGCCGGTTCGGTTAGATGATTCTGAAGACCCGGAGGTTAAGCATCCCTCACCTGTCGTGACTGTTGCAGCGGTCGCTGAGGTTCCTGAGTCGTCTGCAGTGTCGGGTCGCGAGCAGCCGTCCGCGACTGAGAGGCTGCTCAGTTACTTCTCGTCCTGGTGCCGACTGAAGAAGGCCGTGGCCTGGTATAGGCGCTTTTCTGATTTCCTCAGGAGCAGGCTGCGCGATCGAGCAGGCAGGCGTCTGCGCGATCGAGGAGTGGGAGTAAGGACGTCTCTGAGTGTAGATGATTTGAGGTCGGCTGAGAACTCCATCCTTAAATACGTTCAGAAGACAAGCTTCTCTGAGTTTTCTGATGACCGTGAAGGGACGGTGAAAGTGACCAAGTCGAGCTCCCTCAAGGGGTTGAGCTTGACTCGGAGGGATGGCATCTTAGTGGTAGGGGGTAGGCTAAGTCGCTGTCCTGTACAGAGCGATAGCAAGTATCCTGTGCTCATGCCCAGACATCACCATGTGACCCGCCTAGTGATTCGTGACGCTCACGAAAGGGTAGGTCATCAGGGTCGTGAACATACCCTGAGCAAGATTAGGGAGAGGTTTTGGATCTTGGGTGTTGGATCGCTGGTTAGGAGTCTAGTTCGATCCTGTGTGACCTGTAGAAAGGTGAGTGCGGTCCCACAGAGGCAGATGATGTCTGACCTGCCGGACGACAGGGTGACGCCGGATACTCCTGCGTTTGCGTTCGTTGGCTTAGACGTTTTTGGGCCAGTGCTAGTTAAGAGAGGCCGTTCTGAAGTGAAACGCTATGGTCTGATGTGTACATGTCTAGTAACTCGTGCAGTGCACGTGGAGGTGCTGCAGTCACTGGAATCGGACTCTCTGATAAACGCTATACGTCGGATTATTGCGCGTCGGGGTCCGATCAGTAGGATTAGGAGCGATTTGGGTACAAACATGGTGGGTGCTGACAACGAGCTCAAGGCTGAGCTCGCTAGACTGGACGCTAGTAGGCTCGAGCAGTTCGCCTTGGGGAAGGGGATTGAGTGGGTGTTTAACCCTCCGTCTGCCTCACACTTTGGTGGATGTTGGGAGCGCTGCAGCAGGACATTCAGAAAGGTTTGGAGGTCGATGCCCACCCAGAGACTCGATGACGAAGGTCTACACACTTTGTTCTGTGAGGTCGAGTCGGTGTTAAACAGTAGACCCTTGACATTTGTCTCTGCTGACAATGGTGAGGTAGAGCCCCTTACGCCCAACCACTTGCTGCTGCTGCGTGGCAGTGGTGAGGGGATCCCAGGGGAGTTTTCCCACGACCAGCTCTCGACCAAGCAGTGGAGGAGAGTACAGTACTTGTCTGAGCAGTTTTGGCTCCGATGGCGGAGCGAGTATTTGCCTACACTGCTGCGTCGCCAAAAGTGGACGACAAGGTCTCGTAACGTAAAACAGGGAGATATAGTTTTGTTGGTAGCAGACGACGCGCCAAGAGGTCAGTGGCGCCTTGGCAGGGTGACTCAGACCTTTCCGAGCCAGGATGGGTTAGTAAGAAAGGTTTCAGTTAGGACGGGTGGCACGATACTCGTGAGACCCGTGCACAAGCTGATACTTGTGCTGCCTGATTCTGACCTTGACCTGGGCTAGATGGACGATTAGTGTTTGGAGCGCATGTTTAGGACATGTGATGTATATAGGAGTGTATGTGTGTGTGCCCTGTTTGTTCGGTGTCCTCAACCCTGCGGGTTGAGCGGGGGGAGTGTAGGCGCTGTTTTTGATGAGCTCCTGCTAGTAACTTTAGGTTACCCGAACGCTTACGAGATGGCGGTGTTGTTTCGGTATTTGAATAGCGCTATCGATTTATCGATGTTTATTTTCTGCTTGGGTGCTTTGTGTCATTTGGTTTAATTTTTGTATCGGTTTATAAATTAATTTTGTATTGTGTTTCGCTGTTATTTGTTGTTAGCATTTAAGTTTAAGTGCTAACCTTCACGGTCACGTGACCGGCGCCCCGCCTACCCGCCACGTCGGCTTCCGGGTCGGCGGAGGGGCGGTCGTGGAAGGAGGGATTCGAGACATTCTTGGTCTATCGGTGACGGCGGCGGGAGTCATGCCGATTTGGGTTTTTGGTCACCATGGTTGCTCTAGCCGTACGACTTTGAGGGCTTTGAGGGCGCACCGTGTAGGTGAGTGACATGTACAGTCACCAGCACTTGCTACTAATCACCTCGTTTTTGCTCAGTAGTTTGAAGACCGATCAATTCTCAGTCGCGCAAGATACGTCAAACGATCGGTTTGGTCCTCCGATTTTCGAATATCTAACTTGTTTTTGTATGTTCGAAGCATTTTGGGATGAGGAGCCAAAAAACGTCTTTTCTGCCCTAAAGTTGCCCCAAGAAGTCGTAGAACCTAGCCCCGCCTCTGATCCACAGACCACTAGTGCCATCTCTTGTCAGCCGAACAAACCGCAGAAGTAAATAATGTCACGTGACCTTTGCACACGCTACAATTACTACGCAGTTGTAGTGGGGGAAGCGGGGCGGAGGCGTGGAGAGGGACGCGATCGGTCCGGTCGGCTGGGGTCAGGTCGCCGAAGTCGGAGGTCATCCGCCGGAGGGTGTTTGGGCGATTGAGCCGTTTGGGCTGGGGCTTGCGGAGTGGGGAGAGCCTGGACCTGTCTGGAAACAAGTTCTACAACGCTGTGGCAGTCGAGAATATTGTGAGGAAAGAGAGAGAGGGGGAGGAGAGAGACAGTGGAAGAGAAAGAGGGAGATAGAGGGAGAGAGGGAGATGGAGAGAGAGGAAGAGAGAGAGGAGAGAGAGTGGAAGAGAAAGAGGGAGATAGAGGGAGAGAGAGGGAGAGAGAGAGGAGAGAGAGTGGAAGAGAAAGATGGAGAGAGAGGGAGAGGGAGAGAGAGGCAAAGGGAGAGAGATGGGAGAGAGGGAGAGAGATGGGAGAGAGGGAGAGAGATGAGAGAGAGGGAGAGAGATGGGAGAGAGGGAGAGAGATGGGAGAGAGGGAGAGAGATGGGAGAGAGGGAGAGAGATGGGAGAGAGGGAGAGAGGGAGAGAGGGAGAGAGATGGGAGAGAGGGAGAGAGATGGGAGAGAGGGAGAGAGATGGGTGAGAGGGAGAGAGATGGGAGAGAGGGAGAGAGATGGGAGAGAGGGAGAGAGGGAGAGAGATGGGAGAGATGGGAGAGAGGGAGAGAGATGGGAGAGAGGGAGAGAGATGGGAGAGAGGGAGAGAGATGGGAGAGAGGGAGAGAGATGGGAGAGAGGGAGAGAGATGGGAGTGAGGGAGAGAGATGGGAGTGAGGGAGAGAGATGGGAGAGAGGGAGAAAGATGGGAGAGGGGGAGAGAGATGGGAGAGAGATGGGAGAGAGGGAGAGAGATGGGAGAGAGTGAGAGAGATGGGAGAGAGGGAGAGAGATGGGAGAGAGGGAGAGAGAGGGAAAGAGGGGGAGAGAGAGAGAGAGAGAGAGAGAGAGAGAGAGAGAGAGAGAGAGAGAGAGAGAGAGGAAAGACTGAAGGGAAGGGATAAGGACGGGAGGAGAGAAAAGAGAGACAGAAAAGGAAAACCAGGAAGGGTTATATGAGAGAGAGGGTAATGGGTAATTCAGTGAGAGGGAGCGAGAGAGAAAATATTTAGTTGTGTCAGCTTGTTTCGTATGTAAAATGTAAATTTGCTTTCCATCATTTCAGCTTCGGATTGGAAATTAAATCTTAGCATCCTTATGATAAACCCACGCTGATCGGATGGGGACGTTTTTATGGGGATGATGTTGAGGGTTTCGCAAATATTTCATAAAAGATATTATATTTTTGCATCACCTATTAAACATTTTTTTAACGTTTGCTATGAAAATGTTAGGCCCAGTTCCTTCAAGATCAGGTCCACGACTCCACAGCTTACAACAGGAGCTAGCTAACATAACAATTTCACCCGCGCCGTGTTGGTGGCATGAACTTTCCGTCGAGTGCTGAGGGGGGGGGGCGTTTCACGCCCCTCCGTCTAACTCGACTCCTGGGCCACGTAGCGACACGCGGTAGGCGGCAATCGAAAGAGCGTCAAAAATAAGAAGGAGAACACTCGGTCATTTAAAGGTCAGGGCAAAGGTCAGGTCACCAGAACTCATCAAAGGTCAAATT